CACTAGTGTACAGAAAAATAGTGAAAAAATTGAATAATTCACTGCAGAGAAAGTTCAAAAATAATGTACGAAATAATATGCATAATAAAAATTACTGGAACAAGATAAGAAATGGAAGTTAACTAAAGTAACAAACTTCGAAGAAGGCAAAACTGATTCGAACTCTTTCACTCTTATTGTAACATTAGCAACAAAATTTACTGATATAGACAAACACTTAGTTCAAAAAATGACAAGTTGAAATAATAAGAATGAGTAATGAAAAACGAAAAAATAGGTAATAAAAAATAAAAAATGAACGAAAACTGATTGAACACTTACATTAATGGCTGAAGGACACAAACATATAATTATTCAGAGTACTATTACTACAACAAAATACTTCTGACATGATAGCATAAAATATTGTTAAAATGCAAAAAATGAGATACACATAAAACATAGCAAAAAAATGGAATGAAACACTGCGGCACACGAAAACACAAGGTATACAGAACAAAATGGATAACTGTAAATTCTGCAAGATAATGGTCATAACTGCAAGAAAGCTAAATAGAAATTACACTGCTGATAAGAAACAGATACAGATAAAGGAAATTATCTTCACTACTCATGATGTGAATGACTTTCCGGTGAACTCACATAATACTTACTAAAGACATGGAGTAGCATAAAAAAAACAACAACATATAAAAATTATAAAAATCAACAAGAGATGGGAGCGATAACACTGAAAAATATTGCAATATAATGAGTCAAAGAAACATCAGTCGACACTGAAAAACACAATGCTTAGGTAAACAGAGTACACTTAAATGCATCACAACACGCAAATGTCTTTAAATGCAAGAAAATGTCTCTAAACAATTATCACTGGAGTCTGAGTAGTAGACGGATTGACTAGTGTGATGGAAGACGTCTGTGCGGTGATGACGCCTCCTACACTCACAGTTGGTCGTAGAATGCGCTTCTCGTGAACTCAAATACTGGCTTATCGATTGGCTCAGCTTACAATCTCTTGACCATTATGTAGCCAAAACAGTACTAGGACCGGTACTGAAAAAAACCCCACAGGTAGATGGTGGGTGCGGGTGGTGGGGCAGCGAACAAGCTGGCCCTGTGCGCTCTCACTGCCACGCACTTCAACCACCAGACAAGGCGGCTTAACTAAATCAATGCGAACAGGATGATGAAGACCACTCTACCAGAATCCAAGCACATGGCGATATATGAAACAATACTTCAGAGGAACTTGATGTGGCTTACTTCACACCTCTCAGCTGGTTTAGAAGCTGAGTTTGACTGACTGGCTTAACCCACAGATGGCCTGATGGAAGACGTGTAACGTGCACACAGCAATGAAGGAGCAGGTTGGATGACAGAGACAGGTGATGGTAGGCTTGAGGTAGGCTGACTAGGTTCACTTCCACGTCTAAACTTACTGACTGGCTTAATTTGCAAATCCGGGTCAACCCCTCGGAGATTGAAGCAATTAGCACACGAACTATGCCAGGAAGCCTGAAAAACGGCTGCAACAGGCTTGCAGGCTGGAGTACACAGGGTGGTGTCTTGAGGGTAAGCTGCGAGCTGGAGGTGACTGAGACGGTTCACCTCTGACCTGCCGGCAACCCACAAACAGCCTTCTAACGTCTGAAATACCCTTAAATCCACGCTCACACCGGTGCCACCATTTGTCATGTGGGTTTTTCGATACGTGGATGGGTAAAAATACTCGCGTAGGCTGGAAGTACGTATAATATATAACGGGAAGTATGGAGCGCCAACAGCCGACCTGCCTCTCTCTGCTCCCTATCTTGACTGACCCACCAGTGCCCCAGTGCCTACGGGTGAGGTGTTTGAAATCCTGCTATGGTCAGCAGCAATGTGAATACAGTCAATGATTCACACAGACGGTTGATAGTGAGTCATCTACTGGTACACTGGTTACTGGTAACTGGTTACTAGGAACTGGTACTACTACTGAGAACATGACATCAGTGAATCCATGGTGTTTGCCACACTATTTGCTCTAGCTGGTGCTCAGTTGAACTGGTGCTCCCACAAGGTACTAAGTGGTCCCCAAATTTTTTCCTACTGCGCACACTGAGTGCACGGCCCCATTCTCTCATGTCTTGGCGACTCAGGCTTATCGCACCAATTTTGAAGGAAAGAGAAATAAAACGTTGATCTACGTTCAGAGCCCCTCGTATGTGAATGTAGATCTACGTGTGGACAGTTTAAGAGTTAAAAAAGAAAGTTTAAATAGAATATGTTCTTTTGAAAAAGAAAGTTGGAATAGAATATGCCTTTTTTTTTTTTTCTCAACAAGTCGGCCGTCTCCCACCGAGGCAGGGTGACCCAAAAAAAGAAAGAAAATCCCCAAAAAGAAAATGCATTCATAATCATTCAACACTTTCACCACACTCGCACATTATCACTGCTTTTGCAGAGGTGCTCAGAATACAACAGTTTAGAAGCATATACATATAAAGATACACAACATATCCCTCCAAACTGCCAATATCCCAAACCCCTCCTTTAAAGTGCAGGCATTGTACTTCCCATTTCCAGGACTCAAGTCCGACTATATGAAAATATCCGGTTTCCCTGAATCCCTTCACTAAATATTACCCTGCTCACACTCCAACAGATCGTCAGGTCCCAAGTATCATTCATCTCCATTCACTCCTATCTAACACGCTCATGCACGCTTGCTGGAAATCCAAGCCCCTTGCCCACAAAACCTCCTTTACCCCCTCTTTCCAACCCTTTCGAGGACGACCCCTACCCCTACCCCTCCTTCCTTCCCCTATAGATTTACATGCTTTCCATGTCATTCTACTTTGATCCATTCTCTCTAAATGACCAAACCACCTCAACAACCCCTCTTCTGCCCTCTGACTAATGCTTTTATTAACTCCACACCTTCTCCTAATTTCCACACTCCGAATTTTCTGCATAATATTTACACCACACATTGCCCTTAGACAGGACATCTCCACTGCTCCAACCATCTCCTTGCTGCTGCATTTACCACCCAAGCTTCACATCCATATAAGAGTGTTGGTACTACTATACTTTCATACATTCCCTTCTTTGCCTCCATAGATAACGTTTTTTGACTCCACATATACCTCAACGCACCACTCACCTTTTTTCCCTCGTCAATTCTATGATTAACCTCATCCTTCATGAATCCATCCGCCGACACGTCAACTCCCAAGTATCTGAAAACATTCACTTCTTCCATACTCCTCCTCCCAATTGATATCCAATTTTTCTTTATCTAAATCATTTGATACCCTCATCACCTTACTCTTTTTTATGTTCACTTTCAACTTTCTACCTTTACACCACATTCTCAAACTCATCCACTAGCCTTTGTAATTTTTCTTTAGAATCTCTCATAAGCACAGTATCATCAGCAAAAAGTAACTGTGTCAATTCCCATTTTGAATTTGATTCCTCATAATTTAATCCACCCCTCCTGAACACCCTAGCATTTACTTCTTTTACAACCCCATCTATAAATATATTAAACAACCATGGTGACATTACACATCCCTGTCTAAGACCTACTTTTACCGGAAGTATTCTCCCTCTCTTCTACACACCCTAACCTGAGCCTCACTATCCTCATAAAAGCTCTTTACAGCATTTAGTAACTTACCACCTATTCCATATACTTGCAACATCTGCCACATTGCTCCTCTATCCACTCTATCATATGCCTTTTCTAAATCCATAAATGCAATAAAAACTTCCCTACCTTTATCTAAATACTGTTCACATATATGCTTCAATGTAAACACTTGATCTACACATCCCCTACCCACTCTGAAGCCTCCCTGCTCATCCACAATCTTACATTCTGTCTTACCTCTAATTCTTTCAATTATAACCCTACCGTATACTTTTCCTGGTATACTCAGTAAACTTATTCCTCTATAATTTTTACGTTCTCTTTTGTCCCCTTTCCCTTTATATAAAGGGACTATACATGCTCTCTGCCAATCCCTAGGTACCTTCCCCTCTTTCATACATTTATTAAATAAAAGTACCAACCACTCCAACACTATATCCCCCCTGCTTTTAACATTTCTTTCATGATCTCATCAGTTCCAGCTGCTTTACCCCCTTTCATTCTACGTAATGCCTCACGCACCTCCACCACACTTACATTCTGCTCTTCTTCACTCCTAAAAGATGGTAATACCTCCCTGGCCAGTGCTTGAAAATTACCGCCTCCCTTTCTTCCTCAACATTTAAAAGTTTCTCAAAAATATTCTCGCCATCTACCTAATACCTCCCTCTCCCCATTACTAACTCCCCTACTCTGTTTTTAACTGACAAATCCATACTTCCCTAGGCTTTCTTAACTTGTTTAACTCATTCCAAAATTTTTTCTTATTTTCATTAAAATTTCTTGACAGTGCCTCTCCCACTCTATCATCTGCTCTCCTTTTGCACTCTCTCACCCTCTCTTCACCTTTCTTTTACTCTCCATATACTCTGCTCTTCTTACAACACTTCTGCTTTGTAAAAACCTCTCATAAGCTACCTTTTTCTCTTTTATCACACCCTTTACTTCATCATTCCACAATCACTCCTCTTTCCTCCTGCCCCCTCCCTCCTATAACCACAAACTTCTGCCCCACTTCTAATACTGCATTTTTAAAACATTCCAACCCTCCTCAACCCCCCCCCCCCCACTACTCAACTTTGCACTAGCCCACCTTTCTGCCAATAGTCGCTTGTATCTCTCCCGAACTTCCTCCTCCCTTAGTTTATACACTTTCACCTCCCTCTTACTTGTTGTTGCCACCTTCCTCTTTTCCCATCTACCTCTTACTCTAACTGTAGCTACAACTAAATAATGATCCGATATATCAGTTGCCCCTCTATAATGCCTTGTTTAAAACAATTAGTTGAAGTAAGATTTACCTTTCTGCATTTTTTTTTTAAATGTCATTTTTCAGTTCTAATATTTTCTGTATCAGATGGCCTGTAACCAGCTCATCTCCAGTGGACTGGTATGAAGTCCAAGTGATCCCTGCTCTTCATGTGATAAGCTCATTTGCATCTCCACATAACCTTAACCATGAACCTAAAGCTCTGCAGATCATCAGTGCACATCTTTCACCATTACATATTAAGGTATTTTGTATTTTATTTTAATTTTATTATATTGTCACACATTTCAAAAGCTTCAGCACACAGTTGTGATTATAGTGCTTGTGTGATGTGCTTTCCTCTGCTTCCAAAGCAGGGCCTGTCGTAGTCAAAACGTATCATGGTTTTAAATTAACCCTTAAACTGTCCAAACGTAGATATACGTTGACGTGAGGCAGGCTCCGAACGTAGATCTACGTTTTTTTTACATGCTTTCAAATGGGGAAAATCAAGGTCGGAGCGCTACGCATGTGAATGTAGATCTACGTTTGGACAGTTTAAGGGTTAAAAACTCACATCTGATTACTAATGTATGGATTTAGTAACACAAGGAATGTAAAATGCACCTGTCTTTACTGAATGAAGAATTTTTTTTTTTATTAACACAACTGTTTCTCCCTAGGGTAGGGTGACCCAAAAAGAAGAAACACTTTCATCATCATTCACTCTATCACTGTCTTGCCAGAGATGCACCTATAGTACAGTTAAAAAACTGCAACATATCAGCACCCCTTCTTCAGAGCACAGGCACTGTGCTTCCCACCTCCAGGACTCAAGTCTGTCTTACCCATTTACCTGACTCCCTACATAAATATCACTTGCTTACACTCCAGCAGCACGTCAAGTCATGAAAACCATTTGTCTCCACTCGCTCATATCTAGCACGCTCACGCATGCTTGCTGGAAATCCAGCGCTCTCGCTCACAAAACCTCCTTTAACCCCCCCCCCCCCAAAAAAAAAAAAAAAAAAAACCATTTCCTAGGCTGACCCTTAACCTGCCTTCCTTCCACTGCAGATTTATATGCTCTCCAAGTCATTCTGTTGTGTTCCATTCGCTCTAAATGTTTGAACCACCTCATAAACCCCTCTTCTGCCCTCTGGATAATATTTTTAGTAACTCAGCACCTCCTCCTAATTTACAAACTACAGATTCTCTGCATTATATTCACACCACACATTGCCCTCAGACATGCCATCTCCACTGCCTCCAGCCTTCACCTTGTTGCATCATTCACCACCCATGCTTCACACCCACAAAAGAGCATTGGTATAACTATACTCTCATACATTCCCTTCTTTGATTCCATGGATAACGTTTTTTGTCTCCATAGACTCCTCAGTGCACCACTCCTTTTTTCTCTCTTCAATTCTATAATTCACCTCGTCTTTCATAGACCCATCTGCTGACAAGTCCACTCCCAGATATCTGAATACATTCACTTCCTCCATACTCCCTCCCTCCAATCTTACATTACCTAAATTTTTTTGTTCTCATCATTTACTCAATCCTATGTTCACTTTTAATTTCCTTCTTTTACATACCCTACCAAACTCATCCACCAACCTCTGCAACTTCTCTTCAGAATTTCCTAAAAGCACAGTGTCATCAGCAAAAAGTAACTGTATCAACTCCCAATTTTTATTATTATTATTTTTATTATTATTATTATTATTATTATTAGTAGTAGTAGTAGTAGTAGTAGTAATTAGTAGTAGTAGTAGTAGTGTATTTTTACTATCATTATGATTATGTTGAATGTTTTTGGTTTCAGGAAGTCCTTGTCAACAACAGAATATGCTTTGTAATCTTAGATACTATGGAGAAGGTGGCAAGTTTTGTATCCTCACCAAAAGACAAAGTAGTGTAAGTATGCATAATTAAATTCAAAATAAATAATTTGGTAGAGATTAACTGGGTATATATTTATGGAAATGCATAATGTCTTTGTTGGGTTACTATAAGTTAAGACATATTTTAAAATTTAGTATCAGTGGACTTCGAAAGAATTCATCTGTCCATGTTTAGTCTATAACTGAATCTCAATAAGTTACAAATCAAAGTAGGTACAGTATGTTGCTATCACTTACAGGTTTAATATTGCACTATTTTCTCAGTGTGCCTTAATAACCTCTTTTCTCTTTTCATAGCGAGAATGAGCCTTAACCTCTTTTCTCATTTCTTAATAACAATGAGCCTTAACCATTCAAGTCTCTAAGAAATAGACGAATTATTTTAGAAATTTAATGTTTGTGGTAGTTTCAGTTTTAAATAAATATTTGTTCATTTCCATTCTCAGTACTTGTCTAGTTTGTTTAATATGGATTAAACTTACATTGATAGCCTTATTTTTGGCAGTGCAGTATTTTATGTTAAAATAAAACTGAAGCTCCCAAGTTAGCCCCAGAGCACTTGACACCAAAGCATGTATTTTCATTCTTACAAAGCCAGAAAAATTTAAGTACAGTTGGGCTTTTAGTTTTTGAGTGCAAATAGTGTAATCACTCACTTCATATAATGATAGGTTCTCAAAAGCAGTATTTGCTGAGTGTAAACTGTGATATTTACTCTATAAAATGAAAGTCACTTAGAAATAGTGTTTAGTATAAACTGTGATCACTCACCTCAGTAGTAGTGACTTTTCAGTTCATAGTGATCTTTAAGATGCAGTGTTTGCTATGCTCTGTTGCTTTAGCATGATGTAGGCTGCATTTTTTTTTTTTTTTGGAGGTATTCTTTTACATAATTTTGTTATTGTTTTGTTTTTGTATTGTACTTAATGGAAGTATTTAATGAAGTTAAAATTCATAGTCATACTGTATATCAGCACTTGTATTGTGATGTGCCCACCACACATTTTTGCACATAGTCATTCTGTTAACATAAATACTTCATGTGTACAGTAGGGCCCCACTTATATGGCAGGTTAGGTTTCAGGCTACCACCGTAAAGCGGAAATCACCGTAAAGTGGAATGCCCTTTTTTTCCACTCATTAATGCATATAAATGCTAGATAACAAGTTTACACTAACATATATTGAGTTAGCAATAGAACTAGGCATTAAAAACAATAAAAAAGTAAAATACACATATAGTACACTCATTACTTACCTTAAAATATTTGTAGTCTTAATGTAAGGTGAAATGGGTAGTATTTATAGTAAGAAATCAGGTGTGGGAGGTATGATAGCCAGCCAGGCCAGGCCACCCCACCCCCACCCCACCCCACCCCACCTCACCCCACCTTCCTGGCAAGTGAGTGTAAAACGAAAGCCTGTAATTGTTTTACATGATGGTAGGATTGCTGGTGTCCATTTTTCTGTCTCATAAACATGCAAGGTTTCAGGTATGTCTTGCTACTTCTACTTACACTTAGGTCACACTACACATGCATGTACAAGCATATATATACACACCCCTCTGGGTTTTCTGCTATTTTCTTACTAGTTCTTGTTCTTGTTTATTTCCTCTTACCTCCATGCGTAAGCCATGCGTGTTGTAAGAGGCGACTAAAATACCAGGAGCAAGGGGCTAGTAACCCCTTGTCCTGTATATATTACTAAATGTAAAAGGAGAAACTTTTCGTTTTTCCTTTTGGGCCACCCCGCCTCGGTGGGATACGGCTGGTGTGTTGAAAGAAAGAAGAAGAAATACAATATTGTTTAACTTCCAACACAATGCAAGCTGTCTTTCTCTCTCTTGCTTTACCCCCAGTAATATTATTGTGTACACATTTTCTTCGGTGTTGAACTAGAGAAAACTTTTTTTTTTCTGACACTCCGGCAAGACGACTGGAAAAACATCTCATCTTTATGTTAATTTATTCTACTGTGGGGTGTATTTATCATGTTTATATGTTAAGTAGCGTATTTATTATGTAATTTTGAATGAATATGATTGATGGATTATTGAAGAAAATGTGTATATTAACGTAATACGTACATGACATTTAATGTGCCTCAGAGTGATTATTATTGCGTATTATTATTTTCATTATTAATATGGCGTCCTCAAGACTAATAAGACACACTTGGTGATTTTAATGTGTACCTGCGTGCCAGCACAGTTAGTAAGTTTATTTAGGTACAGGTACACATAAGTATAATTATCAGAGTACATGTATACATAAAACTCTACCGTCCTGCCAAGCGAGTGTAAAACGAAAGCTTGTAATTGTTTTACAAGATGGTAGGATTGCTGGTGTCCTTCTTTCTGTCTCATGAACATGCAAGATTTCAGGTACGTCTTGCTAATTCTACTTACACTTAGGTCACACTACACATATATGTACAAGCACATATATACACACCCCTCTGGGTTTTCTTCTATTTTCATTCTAGTTCTTATTCTTATTTATTTCCTCTTA